TCCTGGCCATGCATGAGAGTAAAGTTGGAAACTTTACGTGTCTTTGTAGCCTTTAAGGACCAGATCTGTATTTTTCGGGCTTGTCTTGATGAATAAGTCTTTATTGTTTAAGCCTTAACCTTTTAAGCTTAGGTTTTGGGTTCTAAACCCATTATGATGTTTCTTAAGGGTAAATTCGCAAGCTTTACCCTTCTAGACGTTATTTCTGTTAAAATTTGAGTGGTGAACCTTTTAGTTTCAAGAATCATAACTTAATATATTAACAGGTGTGCTTCCTGAAGAACTCGGCGAGTTCACAAGTGAACTCAGCGAGTTGCATCGATTTGACCCGATTCTTCTGACTAAATGGGAAACTTGGCGAGTTCATGGGTGAACTCGGCGAGTTGGATCGACTTTTAGTGACACGTTTGATTTAGCAGGGACCTCGGTGAGTTGAGTCAACTCGGAACTTTGACTTTGACTTTGACTTTGTTCAAGCTTGCCCTTTAAAGGGTTTTGAAATATGAAATGGTATCTAAGGGATTGTTGATGTTTAGGGATTGAGTAGAGTAGATTTTCGGGGCCATGATTTATCTAGTTATCATTCAACATTCAAGGTGAGTTTCCTTTCCGGGTTTAGTGGATTGAAGGCACCAAGGTCAGCCCATATTTATATTATGTTGATAGTAACCTAGTTGTCTTTGTGACTCTTGCATGTATTTGGGTTTATATGTTTTCCCGGCTAAGGCCCGATGTTGGGCGGGGCCTGATGTATATATGTATGTTATGTATCTCTATAATTATTTCATTTTTATGTGTTTATTTTGATATATGTTATTGTATGTTAGGATGGGCCTGTTTTACAGGGCTCAGCACGATGCCGGGCGGGGCCCGATATCGGACGAGGTCCGAAGCCAGGCGGGGCACACTATATGTTTGGTTTATGATTGGTATACGGTATTCTGGGAGAACTTACTAGGCTTTGTAGTTACGGTTTTCAGTTTCTGTTTTAGGTACTTTCGTTTGTAAAGGGAAGAGTTCAGGATGATCACATTGCACACACCATTGAGATTTGCTATGATGTTTTACTTTGATTTATGACAATTGATACATTGGTTTTTATTCGAATAATTGGATGTTATGAAAATAATTACTAATTATTTATCAGTAAATAATAAACTTTTGGGACCATATTTTTAGGCGTTACACTAATTTTCTGTGGATTTCGAAAATCAAAGGAGCATACTAGGGTTTCTTCTTTTATGTTCAAGTTTGCATATTCAATTAGAGAAAACATAGATCCAATCATTTAGGGTTGCATGTATACTTAGAAATGTATGTTTTGCTCAAAACCCATAATTTACGACACTTTCCCTTATTGGATTAAACACAAAACATCAAAGGATTACAACTTCTCCATACAAAGTCAGATTTGAGCGTTTTTTACATGTATGGAATCACTATCACGACTAGTACAACTCCCTTTTAAATTATTCACCTAAATAATTTTTATTTTTGATGCTTATTTTAGCTCTAATTATTAAGTTATTTTATAAATATTATATACACATAAATCGGATACACTCAAATAATTATCTTTTAATTATTCATAAAAAAAGGTTACAATGGTGACCGATGTCAATTACATATTTTATTAAGGTATAACGAGAAATGCGGACATTACAATAACCTTGGTGGTCTTTTCATATTTACTTAGATTTTTCTATATAAAGCCATAAGATAATTGTTATGAAGTTTTTTAATGCATTTCCAGTCATCTAAAAACGTTATTTTGTTTCGGTATATATATATATATATATATATATATATATATATATTATATATATATATAAAGGTTATTTTATAAATATTATACACACATAAATCACATACACTCAAATAATTCTCTTATAATTATTCATAAAAAGGTTACAATGGGTGATCGATGTCAATTACATATTTTATTAAGGTATAACGAGAAACATAGACCTTACAATCACATTGGTGGTCTTTTCATATTTAATTAGATTTTTTTATATAAAGCCATAAGATAATTGTTATGAAGTTTTTAATGCATTTCTAGTCATCTAAAAATGTTATTTTGTTTCGGTATTATATATATATATATATATATATATATATATATATATATATATATTAAAGTTATTTTATAAATATTATATACATAAATCACATACATTCAAACAATTCTCTTTTAATTATTCATAAAAAGGTTACAATGGGTGACTAATGTCAGTTACATATTTTATTAAGGTATAACGAGAGACGTGGACGTTACAATAACCTTGGTTGTCTTTTCATATTTAATTAGATTTTTCTATATAAAGCCATAAGATAATTGTTATGAAGTTTTTTAATGCATTTCTAGTCATCTAAAATAAGGGATGGCAAAGGGGCGGGTTTGGGACGGGTTTTGGTAATCTCACCCCCATCCCTAAATATGAAAATCGATCCCATCACCGATCCGATTACCAACGCGTACCCGTTTACCAAACACTATCGGGTCTGCGGGTATCCCAACGGGATTCCCGTTTAACATTCAAATTAAGAATAATTTTGATTTAATAAGAATATAAAATCATTAGGCTTAGTGATGAAAGCATAAATTCATAACAAAATATTTTTGATAATTTACAAACCATTAAGAGCAAACATATTTGTTCTGATACGTAAGTGGTTACTAGTGGAAAATAAAACAGTAAAGACACTAGCATTCATAATCCATAATATCACTATTACTCTAAGTACTATAAATAAAAAAATATCAAAACACTAGCACTACAAGTAAACAAGAAGCTATCTCAGGAAACTATTGTAAATCATTCACAACAAAGAAGATAACTCAAGGATATATATATATAATATATATATATATATAATATTATATATATATAATATATATATATATATATATATATATATATATAGAGTCAAGATCAAATAAGAAGGAAACTTTTGGTAGGAAGGTAAGAAGTTTTTTTTCTACATATTTTTTTGACGAACAAAATAAATGAATCACTAGATGATTCATTTCTAAGATGATTCACAAGAAAAAATTCTTAAAAAACATCTTTATGATTCATTTATACAATGATTTTGTTGTTATTCACTAAAATTATCATAAAAATGAATTTTTTTCTTAATTTACTTAAAAATGAATCATAAAGATGTTTTTTTGAGAATTTTTTCTTGTGAATCATCTTAGAAATGAATGATCTAGTGATTCATTTATTTTGTTCGTCAAAAAAATATTTAGAAAAAAAAAACTTCTTACCTTCCTACCAAAAAAATTTCTTACCGGATCTATATCCTATATATATATATATATATATATATATATATATATATAATATATATATATATTATATATATATATTATATATAGGTTATAGATCCGGTAAGAAATTTTTTTTGGTAAGAAGGTAAGAAGTTTTTTTCTACATATTTTTTTGACGAACAAAATAAATGAATCACTAGATGATTCATTTGTAAGATGATTCACAAGAAAAAATTCCCAAAAAAACATCTTAGTGAATAACAACAAAATTATTGTATAAATGAATCATCGAGATGTTTTTTTGATAATTTTTTCTTGTGAATCATCTTACAAATGAATCATCTAATGATTCATTTTGTTTGTTCGCGAAAAAAATATGTAGAAAGAAAACTTCTTACCTTCCTACCAAAAATTTCCTTCTTATTTGATCTTGACTCTATATATATATA